TATAAAAAAACAATTAAATTTATTGATTATTTTGGTTTGTGGTTACTTTTTTTTTTAGCCTTTACAGATGTAACCTTAATGTTAAGCTTAGCATTGGCTGTCATATTACTTTTAAATTTGTCTTAATAATTTTGTTCTGTTGTGATAGTTTATTGGACTGAAATTTTCACCACCAGATGTACATTTTGTTATTTCCTGCCAGTATAATAGACCAGAATGATTAATTTTGTACCTCTGTTTCAGCTTAGACATATTGGGGATTTTTTTTTTTCTATCAGTAAAGATAGCATTGAACTTAACATTGTTACATCATCTAAAACTGTTGTATCTTATCAAAGTCCTCCAGATAAGTTTGATATAATGTGCAATGCTGAAATCTAGCATATCTTTCTGTTTCAGTGACTTTTTTGTCATCCAGCACCTAACATTTAGGTGCTATTTTGATTTGTTAACTAAGAACCTACTCATCCTATTTTTGTATTAATGTCCTAGTAAGGATCACCTGAGGCAATTACAGCATAAATTCAATACAGTAAGCACTTTTCTAATCTTGATAAAAAAAATTAAGCTGATATAATTTTTAGTTAAATGGTAACCCCCCAAACTACAGTCAATCGCTGTATAACTCATTTATGGAATTTTTTTTCGTCACTAAAACTTGTAATTTCAATGAAGAAAAGAAAGAATCCATTCATGAGGCAAAGACTTAATCTGTTATTTGATTTGCTACCCGTATAGTTATTTCTCTTCAGTAACGTTTAGAGAGCAAACGAAAGAATACAGACATAGTGAAATGCAGAAATTGTGATATAAAGTCTTTAATATCAAATCCTACAAATCACTGAATAGCTTATCAGTCATTTTACAATGGGAATATTCTCTCAGGCTTTGTTTATTTTATTAACAGTACAGGATTTTGTTTCTTTAAACTGATGAATCTGTACATGTACGTGAATGATATATGTACTGGCAAATAATATGCAGATTAGTCATTTACAGTTTTGATTTCAATGCATTTTCATGTAAAACTAATGTGTGTTTAGGCTTATACACATCTTATTTGGATCATTGTTGTCATAAACTTGTCTCTAGCTTAACTTTCTTTGACATTTTTATTGTTGCACAAGTTTTCCTCCTGTCAATGTCATCCATTATTCATGAATCACATTCATAAGAATCATATCTTTTTTTTGTTAGTTTTCTTGCACATATAAAGAATGAGACTAGCCTGGATTCTTAAATTGTAATTCTGTCTTTAACTTTATTCTGAAAAATGTCAGTAATTCAATGTCTCCTCTCTTCCAGTATTCTTATTTTGCTGAACCGTTTTCCTTCAGCTTATAGTGACATCATACTACCTGTTAAACACTAAACATTGTCAAAATGTAGTTTTGATACATTCTATTCCACTGTGTCTTTTATATTGGCTATCATTGTTGCGTCAATTGCTGGTGTGCATATTCAAAATCAATTTTGTATAATGTACTCAACTCTCTGTAAGTCACGTCTATCTGTCATCTTGTAATAGGAGGGACATATGCCCCTTCTTGTGCCACCCTAAATATAAATTTGGACAATTATTTTCTCTTTTCTGGTTTAAGATAGAAGAAAAGGCTTCAATTTTTGTGTATTTGTAATTTCTGTTTTTATGATGGGACCTCTGTTTTTTTTCAACAGTTAATTCTCTTTCATTTTTCTAACTACGGATAAGGATTAATTTTCTTTTCCTTGTACAATTAATTTTTTTTTCAGGTTTGTCTACTGGATCAGAATGTTTTAGTCTGTTGAAAAAGGAATGTCTTTCATCTGTTTGTGGTCCTAAAGAAGATGTCACTGACATCCTTTTATGTTTATACATCATTCCATTCTGATCTCTTATCTTTTCATTTCTCGTATCAGGTAGAGATCAATTTGTTTTCTACGATGAGTGTTATGTAATCTGGTGTACAAGTGTACAATGCTTCATGAATCTGTTTGTTAGTGTGGGTTGTATAGCTGACAAAACTACACTTTATCCCGACAAAGTTTATCATTCATCTTGTGGTTTGTTGGAAACAGTTTTTGGTTGATTGTTTTTGTAACATCAGATATATCAGGTTTTACTCCATTTTTTTATTGTCTGAATGGTTATATATCTTGTTTCTTGAACAAAACCAATTTCCACAGTTTGCAGAGATCGGTTTAACTATGGTGGCTTAATCTTTCCTATTTGACACTTGGAGTTCCTTTTCAACCACTTTATAGTGTTTGGCTCTTGGTTTCTCATAGTCTTGTATTATTCTTAACTGTGGACAGCCTTGTTGAGCTTGTTTGCAGTGTTACAGATATAATTAAATGTAAAAAAAAATAGGTTCTGTAATTGAGTTTTCATGAACAGTCTGTGACATCCAGTCTGCACTTTCATTAACAGTATTGGTTAAAATCTTTAAAACATATATTTTTTATTAGGAGGATTATTTTGCATTAGTTTAGTTTGAGGACTACTTTAAATCTCCTGAGTTGGCTGAACCCTGTGAGGGCACTTATCTGATGAATAAATACAGTCTAAATCATTACCAGGTTTTGTTTTATAACATTGCTTACTTGTAGTTAGACTGATATATAAAATTAGCTATAGTATTTGCTGAGTTAGTTTGAAATTTTAATTTTTGTATTTAACTTGCAAAGTTATTGATAATGATTTTATGCTGATGTCAATAAAAGGGTAACTTTACCATCAGGTTACGAGACCTTGTAATGCTAACTTCTTTTCCAGTTAGTTTTGTGATGTATTCAATTAGAACTTAGAAAGGGTACTAAAATAAAGTTTTCAATTAACTCTGTTTTGGCTCAGTAGGTGACTGAACATGGGGAAAACAGGTCATACCTTCTGGAAATATCGTGGAGTGAAAATTATCCAAATTCAAAACCTGATGTAAACTTAGATGCATTTTACAACAAATATCTGTAAGTTTATCATAATTATTCATTGTAGTTTCCAGAATAATAGAATGATGATGATGTGGTATTCCTTATTATAGTTTGTTCAAAGTGATTTAGAGGTTCAATGTAATTCAACGCGGAGAGGTTTTGGAAAATAGTTGTTATATGTACAGAAAGAGTTTTTTTTTGGGTCTACACTTCAACAATACCATTGAAGTTATTCAAGCTTGATGTCTTTTGGAAATTTTATTAATATGCATCGTATGTCCGAAATACTAATAAAAAAGGTGTACTGTAAAGTAACATTGGTATTTATCAATTAGGTTTTAAGAATATTATAAATAATTCTGCATAGTTTGTAACGAACACATTTATAAAGCCTAATAGGTTTTGTATATTGTTTTCAGTAACTTATGTTTATTTTAACCAAATTGTGAATTACTTAGAATCTTTTATAATAGAGCTCCAATCAAGATTACTAACATATCGATAAAACTCTTCGGAGTGTTAGCATTAATTAATTAATGTAGGCAGAAGACAACAAAGGATAAAGACATAATAATCTGAAATATCACAATGATTGGTAAAATTAATATATTGTCAAGTGTCGAGACAGCAACACCAAAAATCCTAGTAGGTTGATAAGTACAAAACTTAACATTAACAACTGACATCAAATTACTTAAATCAAACAAATAATTTTGATTAGTAATAACTTAGGTAAACTTTAAAAAAATTCACGTTAAAATCACCCAAAAAAGACATCCTGTGAGTTATCAGAATTTATATCGTCCAAGAGCAAACCAACTCGCACCAGAGGGTGGATGATAAATACAATAAGGATACATTTCACCAATACTAAAACTACACAATTCAATATGGTCAATTATAATGATGGATAAGTTAAATTTATACTCCAGGCCAGGACAAGAATAAATAACAATACCATCTCCGTGCCCAGAGGGTCTACCAAAAGAATCAACATTATAATTTCATAATGGGAGTGGAGACTTCTCCTCACAATACCATAATTAAAAAAATATTAAGATATCAGATTTCAAATTACAACAAATAATTGAGTTAACACATTTTTAAACATACCAAATTAAGCTTGTTGTTTATTGTCAATCTTATTGATAGACTCCCCTTTACTCTGTTTTGAATTAACTCTAAAAAAATATCTGACAATTTTATCTGCAGGCCAAACCTTAGTGAAGAACAATAATCAAGCTCCAATTTTTTTCTAGTTATTTACTAGTTTATGCACAAGATGTTTGTCAAGATTTAAACTTGATCAACTACTATATGGCTGTTTTATTTTTGTAAATGAAATATTAGTTTAATCTTCCTTCATAAGCTGTTTTATATGAATTATTTGTAAAGGAGAATACTGTACTCATTGTGTATTTGTTTATACTGTCTAACAAACATATAATCCCGGTTGAAATTACTAATATTAAAAATAACCTTTACTTCTGTTAGTTGAATGTATCAGCATATGATTGACTTCGTTTGGGGGGGGATACATGTTTATTACAAAATAAATTGTGAATGGTGAGGAAAACTAGATTGGTGGTTGATTATTAAATGATGGATATTTGTTTTTGTTGCAACAGTTCTTAGTATATGATTTCACGATCAGATTGAAAACTAGCTAATAGATTAATAATACAGAAAACTCTTTGATTAAAAATATATTTGAATTACATGGAAGAAAATCAAACATTGAGTAAAGCTTTTGTATTTTCTTTTGGTTTATGTGTCAGTTTTGTTTAATAAGAAAAAGTCTTGACTTAGTAAAACTAAAGATGTGCATGTATAAATGTTGAAATCTTATTTTTTGTAAAAGCAGTTTAATTCTGCTTTATCTACAGGAAACCTGAAGTTAAAACAGAAATTGTATCCAAAGTTCTTGAAGAGGTAAGTAAATATGTGGTATTTACGTAAACTGATATTTATCAGATATATTTAAAGTATCAGTAAAATACAGATTCTGGAAATGTAGAGAGAATATATTGCATTCAGATAGCAAAGGAAAGACAAACGAACATGAGGAAAGTAATAAAAAAGTGTTTATCCACTAAAAATTTGTTCACCGATTGGCTGGCTTTGAATTGTTTGTACTCCAACTGGCTGCTGGAGAGGCTTTTCAAATGTCTGTACTGGACGAGGAAGAATTATCTTTTATCATATTTTCAAGTCAGACAAAGGGTCCAAGTGTGGTATCCCATAATCCATTGGTTACCTACATCACCAATTCAGACTAAAAAATCTTTTTAACTCCAAAAATATTGGTAAAATTGTCATCTTGAATGTATAGGTATATCAATCAACACTGGAAGTTACTAACCCTCCCAACTCTGCTATCTACCAACATAATACCGAAACTGGACATCTGATTTCTCTCTCAAACTTTAAAACCCTCTCAACAGCTGAGTATGAAACTGAACTTCTGATAAAAGAGACATTGTACATAAAAACTCTTCTTCTGTCTAAATAATACCCATTCTTCTTTTGATTTAAATCTGTTTTAATATATATGATTTAATTTGCATTACATACTGTTCTTTTTATCTTGTTTTTTGTATTCAAATTGTTTAGTGTTGTTTGTCATAGTATATCACATTCTTGATGCGATTACCATTGTATATTTTTGTATCTCTGGCTTACTGAAGATGAAGTTCTGAAGATTCCAAAACGTTTAATAATTTCTTGTATCCTTATTTTACATTTTGTCACATTATAAATTTCTGAATGGCCTCCATTACACAATATAAAATTATTTGTGAAAAATAAAAGAAGTATATAATGAGGCCGAGTATGAATATATATGTGTTAACATTAGTATTTAACACAGTGATTTGATACACATATGTATCGAGACTTGTTTTAATTATATGGATATAGCTTTTTTCTCTTTTCAAAAAATTATTATGAAAATATAATGCATGATGAGGGAGTGTCTAAGCATTCCTTTAAAAAATGGTAAGTTTAATTTTGAATGCTGCTTGAATCAATTTTTAGACATTTTTCATATGCTTGTGATGCTTATGTTGATTGTTGGGGTAAAATAATTTTTTCAGGTAATTATACAAGTTAATTATTAGTAGTGGTATGAAAACTGTTTATCTGCAGTTTTACCATGTATGTCATAAATTTAATGTTACACTGCATTGGTGAAAGAGTGATTTATAAAAAAAGTTTAATTTTTAGGCAGAACAACTTCTTGGTATGCCAATGACATATACATTATTGGAATGGGCAAAAGAAAATTCGGAAAAATTATTAGAGAATCAACCAGAGCAGTCAACAGCCACAGAAGACAGTCTTTCCACCAAGGATACCAATGTTCATACGGTTCCTGTAAGTTGAGTTCTTAACATCTTGTTCTGTATAGATGTAATTGTGTTTATTGGTAAAACAGGACAAGAATTGATTTTCATAATGTCACAATCATACACAAAGTATTCATATTTCCACAGGTGCGTAAAACATCAAGAGAGGTCATTGTTAATTATATTTGTCATAATGCATTAGTATTAGGCCTTTTATATTTTTAACACTATATTCTTTGTTCAGTCTTTTAGTTTTTTTCAAGAAAAAGAAGACTATATAATAATATTTTAACCACATTATGTCTGTCATATCCATTATCAATGACACGTTTTACACAATACAGATCTCATAATGCCAGGTGGGATACAACAAAACAGCTGTAGTCAAAACACTATTTATATAAGTTATTTGTTAACCAATGTCTTAAGACAAATACAATTAATTATAATAATGTTTTACCAGCTTGGAAAACATGTTCATACCATAGGAATGATCGTTGTTCTGTAAGTGTTGTAGTTAATATGCATTACAAGAGTAATAAGCTTTAACACCTTTTGATTTAAAAGCTCTGTCAGAACCGTTCTGTTATCATGCTACAAATGTTATTTAAGAATTTTGTTTAACATAAGTCTGGTAAAGAAGCTTTTCTTACGATCACCTTTGCCTTTGAAAGCTCAAAAGTAGATATCTCGAAACTCTCATATTTTATGAATTATCTTGATTTTAAATGTGCACTGACATTATATAGCCTTTTTTTAACTTTTTTAAGAGGAAGGTCATACTGCATTAAACATAGGCATATATTATGTATTTTTCTTCATGTTAATAAATACTGTATTGTGTAAATTTATTAGAATAGACAGTACAGACTACATAGTTTGTATTGTTTTGTGAATGGATATCCATTGATATCGTCTGTTCTTTAATAAATCATTAAATGTTTAAATTTTATAAATTGTAATTATTGGGTAGTTAAGTAAAATTTAAAGGTCTAGAGGACTTCACAAATGAATGGATTTATTTAAACATTAGTATAAAAGATTTTACAATGATTAAAGCTTGCTATCAATTTTTAATTTTATATCAGGTTTTGCTGGTATAAGTTTTTCTGATTTTCATTGAGATTTTATTTATCTAATTTTGTTTGTTCTGCTTGCTCTACATTGGGGTATCAAACAAACACTTGAAAAAACTCCATTTAATTTGGTATTTTTATGAATACTTTAATAAAAAAAGAAATTATGAAACAGTTCTTACATTTTAGAGGATTTTTTGTTAATATGATATGAATTATTATGTCTGGAAATATAAAACATTTTATTTGCCATGAGAATATTGTTTAATACCCCACCCCCCAGTGGTCCAGCAGTAAGTCTGAGAGCTTATAATGCTAAAAATTTGGTTTTAATGTCAGTGGTGGGCAGAGCACAGATAATTCATTGCACAGCTTTGCGATTAACAACAAAGAAACATTTATTCATCCTAGCTTCAAATGTATTATGCACTTTTTATCTTAACAACCATTGGAGTATTAAGATACTGTTTCTAAAGTAATGGTTTGCATATGATTTTTATGTCTATCATGGAAATCTCAGATATACTTTTTAAGAAAAAAATAGTAGAGGCGATTTAAAGTTTCATCTGATATACTTGTTTGTAAAAAAGCATTTCTGATATGTTCACTGCCATATATCCAGCCCAGTTGACAAGTTCTAGTAATGAATAGTAGAGGCATGATAAAGTTCCATTTTGTATATACATTTATGCAAGAAGATCATCTAACAAATTCTGGCAATGAAAAGACTTCTGAGTTGTGAGTGACTTGTGGAAGGCAAAAGTGCTATTTTTAAGCATTTTTATTCAGAAATCCCCATATTACTAATTAAGAGGAATGTGGTTGAAAGCTAACGGAATCGAACATGATTTTAAGCAAGTTTTTGCAATTTTTTCTTAACACTGTAGGGAGTATTCATAAGAGGATTTTGGACTCTTTGTGGAGATTTTTATTGGCAGCTAATAGTTCATTATCACGTTGTTGCATAGACAAGTAATCATAGCTTCTTGTGCGCTACCTTGTGTTGGTAAAATATATCACTTGAGCCATATTGACTTGATCGAGTCTTTTCACAAAGGTTAAAATACATTATTATTATATGACAATACCTAAGAAATATCTTGTTCTTATAAAAGCTTATTTCTACAAATTAGTTTCAAACTTTTGTTTTTAAAATGTTATATTTTTTAAATACCGTATTCTTTTAATAGTTTTTGTAATTGTTATTAATTTTGTTAAAGTGAAAAATGTATTATTTTCAGGAACCAGAGGGTGCTGTATCAAAAAAAAAGAAACCACAACTAACAAAGCAACAAAAAAGAAAAATGTTTGACAGACTAGATGCCAAGGGAGAGAAGCCACGAGGTTGGGATTGGGTTGACATCGTGAAACATTTGAGTCAAACAGGGGGATCTAAGAGTAACACCACTGAAAGTTCCAACTCTTGAAGGTGAAAAATTTTAATTTCTCGATAGAAAATTTAATGTTGTATAGAACATAATGTGAAAAAAAAAGTGGTTTGTGTTCTTTGTGGCCTTTCAAAAATGGAAATGTTTAATGTGAGCATAAACATGTTAAGATGTGTGTTTTGATAGAAGAAAAAAAAGTTTTTAACCTTGTATATGAATAATAATTTAAATCCTAAAATATCGAAAGGAACTTTACTTGACTTTGTAGAAAAAAACATATGACTTGTTGAATAAAGCTATTTTATATACCTGCACAGCCTTTTATCTGGCTAGGAGTGATTATTCTAGAACTTATTGTAATGATACATAAAGAACACCTAAAAAAAATGCAAATCAAGAGTACTTTCTGAAGACAACACTTTGGAAAGGTGAATTCAATAATTAGAACTTCTGAATAATTTATAGAGAAATATTTATTAATTGAGCTGTATTTGTTGTTTCTTACTCTGAATGGTTTTGTCAAGATAAGATTATTATAGAGGTTCATATCAATTGCTAAAATGTTTATTTTGCCTTTAGGATGAATGTTATGTCTTCATATTAAGTATCATTAAATTTAAATTATTCTGTTTATATTACTTGATTTAATGTGTTTTGAAGTTGATTCTACTTTTCTGGTTACTTGTAGTACAGAACGTGTTATAATAGCAGTGAGAAAACACTGGAGTAGTCATACCATACTTACCATCTTAAAAATATACTAATTCACAAACCAGTTGAATTTGGAATGTCCAACCCTGATAGATTATATATATGTATTTATACACACACATCAGGATCTGAAATTTGCAAAATTTCCAATTCACTCCAAGAATGTGTGTATATATATATATATATATATATATATATCTATATTAATTTCATGTTATCAATTGCAGATGTGTATGTGCATATAAGAGTAGTTCAGCCACAAAAAGATCAAATTCAAAGGCCGTAACATTACAAGACTCAAATGGGTCTTTTGTTATCTCAACTAGGAAGACAATGAGTTTGAGTTACTAGCAGTCAGACAATATTCAAAGAGTGAGAGGCTGACGGGAATAATAACGTAATGTCCACACTTGATGTGATTAGGCTAACAGTAGCTATAATGAAAGTACTGAATAAGATGAGAAATGGTTGGGTTCTAAAGAATGTTATTGGATATTGCATACAGCTACAGGATATAAATTAAGTTCAGGAAGTTATCATTGTTCGAAGTTGTACATTCTCGGTAATAGAGTAGTTCTTTGCTTAAGTTCATGGGCTCTGGCTATCAAAGATTCTGATTGTCAGAGATGTAAGCTGTTTCTGAAGTTACATGTACTCCAATTTATCAGGTAGAATTTCTTACTTGCAGTGTCAGGTGTTGATCCTCAACTTTCTGTACTGTTGACCCCTTGAGGTGGATTCCTGTATGTGGCGAGGGGACCTCCCAGGGAAAGTTCTGTATTTTCAGTTACCTCTGGGATCTGAACATCCACCCATGTGTTTGCTGTGTGTGATGACCCGTGAAGGGGAGGATAGGATCATGGTGGTTGAGTGGTGTCTGGGACACTGCAACACACCACTTTGGCCCTGGAGACTTATCATTTTTTAAACTTCCCAATTTTTTCTTAACCAGCTCAGAATTAATACAGTCATCTTGTTTGATCTCGTTTCCATTTATTAACTGTTCAAGATGTGGAATATTGCTTAAATCTTCATTAGTAACAAGTGAAGAAAATGGAGAATTTAATAACCCAGCCATCTCCTAATCATCAAATACTAGCCTTTCTCAAGGGTCCTACCCCTATCTTAACATTTTGTTTACCCTTAATGTACTTAAAGCAATCCTTACTGTTAATTTTTACATTTTCAGTCAACCTTTTTGATGTCCTAATTTCCTGTTTGACCAACTTTCTTGATCTTCTAAATATTTCGTCAATTTAAATTTCTTTAACTTTACTTCTTGTACTCTTTGTGAGCCAACTCTTTTCATTGTATAAGGAATACGTTTATCTTGAATATTTATTTTCCACATTTGATCAGTGTATCCAAATAACTCAGCTGCCCAATTCACAACAGATAACTCTTGTCACATCCCTTCCAAATTTACAACCGAAATATCATTATTCCTTATCTCCATATGCAGCAATGATCGCTTGCACACAGATGTTCCCCAAATTCCACCCTCTCAACAATTTCTATATTAGAAGTTAACAATAAATGTAAAATAGCATTGTTTCTAGTAGGTTCCTTCACCAATTGGTGAAGAAAGCCATCTTGAACAATTTCAAAAAACCTTTCTCCGTCATGGTTTGACTCTAGAATTTCCCAATCTATATGCCTGATTTTAAAAATCACCCATAATTATGACTTTATTAACAGCTGAAATCTTAATCTCACTTTAGAGTTTCTCACTAATTTCATCAGTATCATCTGTAACAAATTCCCACTAAAAGCCTTTTTCCTTTACATCCACAAATAGAAACCCAAAGGGATTCAATCTCTTTGCTATTATCTTTGTTATTTTCAACTTCAACAGGATGTAACTCACATTTTACATATAAACCATTCCTCCCCCTTTTTAATACTCTATCCCTATTAAATAGCCTTTAACCCCGTAGTTCAAAAAAATTTCTGTTATCAAAATCATCTATGTTTAACCATGTTTCAATTATTCCCATTATGTCAAAATCCTCCATTTCTACCAGTGCTTTAAAGTCATCTATTTTATTTCTTATACTTCTAGCATTACAATAGTAACAATTTAACCTATCGTTATAACTACTTATATACTAATTTCCTATGCTAAACTTTTCTCTGCATCTTATTTTTTTTGCATTTAGGTTATTCATGGAACAGTACATAGAACATGTTTTATGATTGTGGGCTAAAAAAGTTTGTCTGTTTTAGAACATTAGAGATTTTTTGATTATTGTGTTTTCTGATGATTTCAAACTGACCATTTCTTACAAACCTATTTAGGTTTTTACAGTTATGTAGATTTACAAACTTTTATGCATTTGGTCCCAAAAATATTTAACTTAAGGTATGTGGAAATTTAACTAATTCTAAAGTTCTCCACCACAAGTCATAGTTTAAAGATATTCAGCAAATTTCTAGCAGTGGGTTTATATAAGTTTATCATAAAACAAACCAGCCTCAAGATTTGGGAATCTTTCACTTTAAACAACCATTACTTGTAGTAGTACTTACACAAATGAAAAATTAATGAATAAATTTTTTGGTCCACACAAAACAGTTACAGCAGAAAAATTTAATACCAAAAATGACACAAAAAACACTCCCCCACACACCACTTTTATATTTATGATGTAATGCAAATAACATATAAAATTTTGGTAAATAGCGTAAACCAATAGTGAAAACCGTATCCAATTCGATAAATCTTATATTTAACAGTCTTTTCTGATTTTTTCTACTAATTGTAAATTTACTGACAATAGATTGTTTGTTTGTTTTAAATTTCGAGCAAAGCTACAGGAGGGCAATCTGCGCTAGCCATCCCTAATTTACCAGAGGGAAGGCAGCTAGTCATAACCACCCACTGCCAACTCTTGGGCTACTCTTTTACCAATGAATAGTGCGATTGACCGTCACATTATAGTGCCCCACGGCTGAAAGGGCGAGCATGTTTGGTGTGACGGGGATTCGAATCTGCGACCCTCAGATTGCGAGTCGAGCGCCCTAACCACCTGGCCATGCTGGGCCTCTGACAATAGAAAACTGTTAATTTAAGTTTAATTTTGTTTCAGTTTTGTGCTAATATCCTGACAATTTTCAGCTCATCGATTCCTGTTATAGTGAAGTGACTGATATGATAATTCTGCCATTAATGAAAGTTAGTTTATCTAAAACATTCAGGCTAAAAAACAATATCATTATTTATAAATGAAAAAGAGATGGGTACTACAAAAATGATTTATCTTCAGCAATAAATCTGATTTTTGATACCTAAAATGAGATCACTTAATAATTTTGAACACTAAACAATCATCCAAAAAACTAACTTTAACTACAATCAAGGAAAACAAACTCTGATAAATAACTTTCAAACTCCACCAATAATTCTTTAACAAAATACAAGGTTACTGGATCTTCATACTACATTTTGTAGAAATACTTATAAATAAAATGATAACACCAGGTTAATGGAGCAACAGACAAATGGGAATACATTAACATTCTGACAAATTCACAACTGGTACTTCATCAGTCCCTTAGTGCAGCTTCAATAAAAGGATGACTGTAAACTTGGATATCAACTACTAGTCTTTGTGAAAGGATGGATTCTATGTCAAATATTTAAAATATTCCCTCAAAAACTGGGAAATTTCTTTGTTATTTTATACATAACCATTAAAATAAGTTAAATTTTGACTCTGAAATCAAATATTTAGATTTTTCATCATTACACACACATTGGCCACAATGATCAGTACTGTTTTACAAGGCTATAATTACCTCTACTGACCCCTCCCCCCTCTCCATCCTTTTTAAGTTTTTTAAAAGTATTATGGAAAGAGCAAGTGGGGATAAAATGTCACCCTCAGAAGTAGTTCTTGGCAAGTCTAACCCTGGAAACAAGCCACATAAAGTAGGTAAACAGAGTGATGACAAGAATGTGTTAAAAAGTTGCATTGACAATAACAAAACATGCTTTATTTCTTTCATATACCTTTGTTCTATTTGTTTTCTAACATTTGTCAACTAATAACTGTACACACACTATGCTTCTGAATATACATAATCACTTGAAAATAAATGGAATGCCCAAAACGTCAATAGCTAAAAGTAATATAACTTTAAACATTTCAAAAATTATGATTATGCAAGATGATGACAAAACTGGTTGTAAAATGAACTAAAAAAAATTATCAACATCCACTAAGCACTTTCTCTAGCACACTTTGAATTACTTTTATTTTTCCAAATACTCATCAATTTATAAAGCTGGTACAATTAGTGTACATGTGTAAATATAACAGGCAATATTTCTTTTAAAATTCTAACAAATATATATATATATATTTTTTAAAATAGCCAATTACTACAAAATGGAATTTGCAGTGTTAATTTATAAAATTAATGTGAAATAATAACAGAACAGAAAAATTTGACTAATTATTTTTACTGTATATTATATATATTTCTGTAAATATCTAAAATAAGGAACTTCCACATAAAATAACTGAAACTTCAACTAGAAATATTAAAAAATGTATATTCAAGTAAGCCTATTTTAACTGTGGGCTTGTAAATGTTAATATTTTTTTGACATACCTTTTTGTGTGTGAAAAATTGAAAGAAAAAATAATTTTACCCAGCAATAAAGTGTCAGTAATAGTTATGTTTTAGCCAAAGCACACAAAACAACTGCTTCCTTAGTTCTTAGCAGAAGGACATAACTAATGACATGAGGACAGACAAAATAAACAAATATTTATAAATTATTTGATTTAGTCAGAAATACTCCACAGTGAAGTTTTTTAAATTATTTGCTTATTAATATATATCTTTATATGCATGTCTATTCATTTATTTAAGCTGCAGTCATCCCTTGTTGGATGTAGCTGTCCGTTGGACCGGTCCAGTATTTCCTATTCTTAGCATACAGATAAATAACTTAAATAATAATGGTTGGAGACGGCTTGAATGGGTAATGAAGACAAACTTTAATATAAGTTTAACATAACTGCAAATGTACAACGTTTCGACAAGATTTTGTCATCATAATCAAAACCTTGTCGAAACGTTGTACATTTGCAGTTATGTTAAACTTATATTAAAGTTTGTCTTCATTACCCATTCAAGCCATCTCCAACCATTATTATTCTCAAAGTGGGTTCCTCGTCATCGAACTTGAAATAACTTA